TGATAAGAAATTTGAGTGATGAGTAAAAAGAGAGAAATATATATAAACCAAAAACATAAAATATGTAGAATTATATTAAAAACTAATGGTTATATCTAACTTATCCAACACCTTAGAAAAGCAGACAACTATTACAATTACAGATTTTTTAGGTTTGATTTTAGTGCATTATGAACCGAATTTGAATTACTCTTACCATGTTAGGATATTGAATGTCATATCCAAAACAAAAAAATGGCATATATATATATATATATATATATATATATATATATATATATATGAAAAAGTTCAAATGCGGTGAGGCCCTCCCCTGTGGCGTGCGGCAATTTTCAGAATACACCAACAGTGTTAATGAAAGGCACCAACAGGGGAAACACACCACAATGAAATGTAAAAATACACCAAAAAATGCACAACACACCCAAAAAAATACACCATATACCTCCCTACCACTAATGGTGTATTTTCGAACATTGTGTGGTGCTTTTAGTCATACCTAATGGTGTGTTGTTGGTGATGCGTACCTAATTTGTGTGTGTTTTTGTGGTGCATTTCCTGACGTTGATGGTGTATATCTCGCTTAACTATTGGTGTATTCTGAAAACTGACGCATGACCATACGGGAAGGAGTCAATGCACCTGAACTCGACTATATATATATATATATATATATATATATATATATATATATATATATATATATATATATATATATATATATATATATATATATATTTCACAATACTGCAAAAAATTATAAGTTGTGAGATGAGTGGGACTTGTACGTACCTGCCACGGGTGGTGAAAATGGATGGTTTAATTTGAAACAATATAATGCATGCATTGCATGAAAATATGGATTTGGGCGGTGGGGTGGGGGTGGGCGGCCAAGATGGAACTGAATCAGATATGGAATGGGGCATGCCACTAATATATAGTAGTAACCAATTTCAACACGAAATTAATTTATAGCAGGCAGACAAACAACGTACGTAGTACTCATCGATCTTCTTGAAAACCATTATAAGACAAAGCAGTGTTTGGTTTGGTTTAATTTGATGCTTTCACAGCGTACTAACATATATATATGCATGTGAAACTCGATCTGATGTGATTCATTTTATTCACTCATCCTATATAAATATCTAGTTGCAGCACTGTACTCCGTACTGCCCCTGCAACTTTTTCTTACCAACTTCTCTTTTTTAACTTCTTCGATCTGTATTTTTTTTTAAAAAAAAATCTGCAGAATTTATGATATATATGGATTATAAGTAGCTAGCTAGATTAATTAGTGCATGTGCAGAAGTTTATAGATTGGAGCGTTACGGATTCACCATTGGGAACTGTTATTCTTGTCGTTTTTCTCCTTCCATATATATTCTTCTACATCTACATCTACAATCTACAATTCTAATAAGAGCCAATAATGTTAGGCCCTTAACTGGAACAAAAAAATGTCGGTCCTATTGTTTCTTAAAATGAATGGTTCATATTATACTATTGTTTCTTAAAATTAATGGTTCATATTATTTTTATTTTAGTATTTTTTATTGATTTTCCTTATTTACCCTCTATTATATTATTTTCTTCCCTTAAATAACCTAAATTCCGTTAGCATAAACTTTAGTAACGGAATATTCCGTTAAGTATTTATTATTTTAACTTACACATTAATTTCTATAAGAAAAGTTGTAGTTTCGAACCACATCCCAATTATAGTCCCAATTATAGTTGGCATAATTGTTAAACATATACTACGAATATGTTAAAATATATTTAAAATATATATAATATAAAATTTAACATAAACTTTGTTCAAATAATTAGTCTGACTAAATACATAACATTCAAAGTTAAGCATCAAAGATTATAAATCAAGAACTTTAAAAATCATTTGATCAGAAAAAAACTTAATATTCTTTTAATTATTTAGATCAGAAAAAAACTTAATATTTCAATTATACTTTTGCATTAATATTTTTTGTATGCATTTAAAAAAAATCAATGATTGCATTATTGTTGATGAAAAGTATATACGCCACTTTATTACTCTTATTAAACTAAATAAAGTAGTAGCTACAACAAAAAACAATACATATGCATTTAATTAATTTAGAATTAGATGTCTATAATGCCTTTATTTTAAAAAAAATATTCATTATAAAAAATTTAAAAATAGATATAATTTCATTAGTTATATTATCTTTATTTTCTACAATTCAAAGATTCATTACCTTCAAATTTATCAATTTATTATATTCACTGCATTGTCCATTGTCTTCTTTTTACATTATCTTATAATTAAATATCAAAGTTATAATACAAAATACATTATATATATTTATTTACCAAGTATTTTATACAAATATAATAAATATTAATATTTTGTTCAATACTTTCACATGGTAACCTACGACACACATCTCACAATGCATGAAACATGTAGGGGAAAACTACCACTACCAAATATTGATTAGAAAATTCAATAAATATTATCTTGCATTTATATATATTTTTTGAATTATCAATTTAAATAAACAAATTCAATATTTATTTACATATGCATGAACATCTCCGATATAATATTGCGTTGATATACTTTGAAATACTTATTTAAAAATAATCATTGGGCATTATCTCATTCGCGCAAAGCGCGTAAAAAAACTAGTATTAAAATATGTAGGGAGTGTTTTGGTAAATGACTAATTAGTCAGTTTAGCGTTTTGATTAGTCCAATCAGTCAAAAAAAAATGTCTGGTTAAATAACATTTTGGGACACTATTTTGCTTTAAAACACTACTTTGAACAGCATTTTGAATTAGGTTTGTCTAAAAAATTTCAAAAGCACCTAAATTGTCTTGCAACGGGTCTGCCAACGAGTTCCACTAGAATAGTGGCAAGTCCCATTGCTTGCAACGGATCCACTTGGCGGGTTGGTGAGACCTGTTGCCAACAAATCTCATTTATTTTTTAATTGTCTCACACCATAGTTTGATAAGTACAATATGAGTAAGATTTAACCATAATAGTTGATGTAGTTTGGTGGAATGGTGGGTTGGGACTTGTGTTGCATCGTAGAGGTTGTGGAAACAATTAATTTTACAACCAATGAATACTATATCAGATTAATTTTACAAACATCTTTTACAACTAACGAATATTATCAGCTATCCGTTAATAGTTATGTAGTATTTATCAAATACTCTATGCATCCTATATCTTTAACTTATTCTTAATTTTTGATGTCGTTTTCTCAACAAAAACACTTATAAATTGTGAGAAGCCAAAGTTTTAATAGGTCACGTAATATGGGAAATTTCATCGGAGTTGCTAATGAAATGTACGTACAACGTTCCGTACTCTTCAAATCTTGATTTCAATAATCTTACCAAAGTTGAGGTCAAATTGAAAATGAAGTGAGATTAATTAGTTGTACGTAGACCGACTTCTACTTTTAGTTTGTAGCTTTTGCGGCGCTGCGGTAATGATTAATGGAAGTTATTAACTGTTACTCCCTTCGTTGGTGCAGTCAACTATGGATTCTCAAAAAAAAAAAAAAAAATTGAGGCCGTCGATCAGCTATGGATTGGAGTGTCTTCATTACCTTTTTTAATTCTATAAAAGAAAAAGAAAAAAGTTAATGCAGTCAACAATGGATTTGGGTATCTTCAATTAATAGAGTTTTGGATTTTTTTTTTTTTTTTTTTAAAAGGTGATATGCAGTCAAATAAGGATTTACTGTGAGATCTTATGTAAGTATTATGTTTATTATTATATCATGACAGAGTAGTATAGTACAATACGTGTAAAGTTTATAGATTCTTTGTAGGTTGGCGTATATGCTCGGATTTAATTTGTCCAACATTCCCATATTCAATGATTAAGATTAAAGGTAGGTTGCTTTGATCCTTAAATTATAAATTTTTTGACTAAATGCTCCAAAATCATGGAATTTGACCCATATCATCAGCAACATTATCAATTGAGAATATTAGGGGGAGAATGTAAGAGTGATTAGCAAAAAGAATGGGAGAGAAAAAAGAAAAAAAAACTGAATTTAAAATAATAAAAAAATATTTTAATGACTGTCAGACGTGCCTGACGCGCCTAGTTGGCACGTGCAGTGCACACGCCCGCTGAGTGCATTTTTGGCCCTCACGCACGCTACGGGAGTGGAGCAAATGGAGGCATGGGTCCCATTTTCTGCTATTCTCTAGACTCTTGGAGGAGAGTCTCATTTTTCTCTTTCTTACCCTCTCTCTCTCTTCCAAGTCACAAGGCATTGTACTATTCTCCCAAAATATACTTTGATGGTGATGCTCTTATCATCTTAGTAGAGTTCAATCTAAGCAAGCAAGAATCACAGTCAAATAAAGTACGCCATTATTTTTCTTAATTTATTCTACTTGTAAATTAAGAATTATGGATGAGATATAAGTGATATGGTATTTAACCTCGGTCCAGGCTCACTTGAGTCCGGGAGTAGTAAAAACCTATCGATGATAAGTAAAGTAAGAAAAACCAATTATATTTTGACAAATTGTTCCATGTAAGAGTTAATTACTTTCTTTATATTTTAAAAGACCAAATTATAATTAATGACTCGTGATTTATAAGATTTATTTTCTTAATTGAAACCAAACACCATAATAAAGTTGTATAGTATTTTGAAAAAGGTTTGTAACAGGTCAACATCTCTTTATTCTCCAATTTTCCTAATAATTAAGGCCTTTTATTATTTCATCTCCGAGCTGTTATGTTGGCATGGCGTAAATTCGAAATGAAATTATGATTTAGAATATATAGAGATAAAAGTGAGCGAACATGATCGAAAGGTTACAGATACCCGACCCTTCAACTAAGCATAGAGTCCACTTCTTTCGATCCTCTGCAAATTTGTGCTTCTCCTTAATCTCTCATAAACTGACAACCTTATAGGAAATTTCCAGGAAACTACACTAGAGCTGAAACGCACTATAAATAAGTTAAACTTCATAGTACTACATACCAGACTACAGTCTCAACAGATTGAGACATCTATCTTACTATCATCAATCAACTTAACAAACGGCGCCGCCACTCTTATCCCCACGTTTCATCTGAAGCTCCATCATCGGCAAAAATGGCTTCCACGGCACGTGATGAGCAGTGGCTTCTGGAGAACGGGAACATCAAGCTCCTGAGCAAGGAGATGAGGCACGGCCACGGCCAGAGCTACGGCCGGACGGCGCACAATATGTCCTCCTCTTCTCTCCGGAAAAAGTCCGACCACTCCATGGCCAAAAAAGTGCCTTGTGCCATTCTCAAAAACTTCCTCATCAGTCTCCAAGAAGTGTTTCTTGGGACTAAGCTTTCCATTCTCTTCATCGCCATTCCTTTCGCCATTTATGCTCATTATCGCCACTATGGCAGGGTGAGTTGCCGCTCTAAGCTGGTTTATCTGTTTGTGGTCTTTGGTTTACTGATGAACCAAAAAATAAAGATTTCATGTGAATTTTTATTTATGATATTAACTAATTTTTATTTTTAAACAGCCATGGGTGTTTGCTTTGAGCTTAATTGGACTTACTCCACTGGCGGAACGTATCAGCTTTCTGACAGAGTAAGTAATTTATAATTAATGTAATTAAGAACATGTATATATATATCCTTGTTATCCCCGAACTGACATGGCGTCTTTTATTTGGAAATGTCAGACAAATCGCATTCCATACTGGTCCAACAGGTATTATATATTTAAATGTTTTATTTTCTTTCCTTTAAAAAAAAAAAAGCATTCTTGAATTTAATTTGACCATTTTTATATATTTGTTTGAATTGTTTTTGCAGTTGGAGGGCTTCTAAATGCGACGTGTGGAAACGCTACAGAGCTGATTATTGCAATATTTGCTCTGATGGAACACAAAGTGGACGTGGTGAAATACTCTCTTCTGGGCTCCATTCTCTCCAACCTTCTTCTAGTTCTTGGAACTTCTCTTTTGTGCGGCGGCATTGCCAACATTTCAAAGGAACAAAACTTCGATAGAGTAAGACATCACACCATTCACCACACATAATATATAAACATAAATGTTCAATAAAACTATCAGTTTAGATTTTTAGTTGAGACAGAGCACATCATTCAATTAACTCTATTGAATATTTGAGATTGTATGTAATCAACTATCACCCGTTGATGCTATCAGCTAGTCAAACCTGCTAACGGCTATTTGTCAAACACCCGGTTAATGTAATGTTGATTGAACAGAAACAAGCGGACGTGAACTTCTTCCTGTTGTTGTTGGGGTTATTGTGCCACGTTCTTCCTCTGGTGTTTGGAGGAGTTGGGCAGGACGTGGGTCGGGCGGCGCAGGCGACTCTTGCGCTGTCGAGAACCAGCTGCGTCGTCATGATCCTCGCGTATTTGGGCTATCTGGTCTTCCAGCTCTGGACTCACCGACAACTGTTCGACGCTCAGGAGGAGGAGGGTGGCGAAGACGAGGACGGAGAATCCGAGGAAGAAGCGGTGCTCGGGTTTTGGAGTTCGTTTATTTGGTTGGTTTTGATGACCGGCGTTGTAGCCCTACTTTCTGAGTTTGCTGTTGACACTATTGAGGTGAGCCGCCGCAAATGTTTTTACATGCATATCATTTCATACTCCATTAAAAAATAAATAAACTTCATTTATAAAATGTTTTTTTTTTCTTAATTTTTTTTTTTTGTATATATTATGGACAGGCTGCATCAGGGTCTTGGGGGATTTCTGTGAGTTTCATCAGTGTAATATTGTTGCCAATTGTTGGGAATGCAGCAGAACATGCCGGTGCTATCATTTTTGCTTTCAAAAATAAACTGGTAAGAATTAATTAATTAATTACAAAAAATAATAAATAATAAATTAATTACAAAAAATAATAATTATTTTTCTATAATGTAGGATATATCTTTGGGAGTGGCACTTGGTTCAGCAACACAAATTGGCATCTTTGTGGTAAGAATTTTATGATTATTTTTTTCCCAATTTAAGAGAAATTTATGATGATCTACTTTTTAGGAGAATAAATATGCTGACATTTAGATAATATATTCAAACTCGAGATATATTATTTTAAACAAAAGATATGAATATGAATTAGAGAATGTTTTAGTTTATAAATAAAAATTAATTTTGTGTCTTAATGTTCAATCTGCAGATTCCCTTAACGGTAATTGTGGCATGGATCATTGGAATCAAGATGGATCTTGCTTTCAGCACCATGGAGACAAGTGCTCTTGCTTTGTCTATAATTATTACAGCCTTCACTTTACAGGTAATATACACATTAATACCCAATAATTATAATTAATTATAATTGTAATGCTAACGATATCTCTAAATATAAACATCAATGAAAAAACTTTCTATGAGAAAATTTATTCTAAAAAGTATATATACATATTTGGCAGGATGGAACATCTCACTACCTCAAGGGAATAGTACTTCTGCTATGTTACGTCATAATCGGGGCAAGCTTTTTTGTTAATCAAGACTCATCAGGTAACCCATCACATTCATAACACCCCAACTCTTATTTATAGTTTTCAGAGCTATAACTCGATCTTGTGCAAAGCGAAAACGCTGACGTTGTTGTTCTTGCATTGGTTAGGACAACCACATAATGGCAACATGGGACCAAATCAAAGAATCTTTAGAGCTTAATTAAATGCACTTCTTGATTGTTGATGAACAAGCTAAGTGTGGAGAATCAACAAATATTGGAGGGATTTGTTATTCTTTTATTTGAATGGATGGTCGGATCTTTAATTCAAAGCCATCAACATTTGAATCTTCGATCTCATCATATATCATCTCCAGATTCAGAAGTTGGAAGGATTCGATCTCGTGGAGATTAAAGAAATGGAAAACCTTAATAAGAGCTACTTAATGTGATATTTTATGTACGTGTGTCTATCTAGTTGCTATAGATTTCTTGTAATAGCAACTGAGTGAAAGTTTTTTTATTTTCTGTAATATATAATGTTATAATAATTGTATAAAGCTCATAAATGATTGGATGTTTATGGCTTGATCAGTGGTTAGAGATGAATATGCATGTGTGAATGCTTAATTATGCGGGTTTGATCAAGATGATATGATTCAAAAAATAGTAAAGAAAAAAGAATAAAATAAAAAACAAGAATATAATGCTAACGTACTATTATATATAGGCAATTTACCCGCATGCAGAGCTCAACTGGTTACAGAGGTGAAATTTTGGAAAAATGACCAGGATCGAGTCTCACTAGCGGCAGTGTGGGAGCAACCTCTTAAAGTGAGAGGGGTTCCTTGTGCGTAGTGAGCACCGGTCTAGCCTCTGTGGTTCATGTTCAGTATGATTATCCTCCCAAATGCTCTGTCGGGTTGGGGTTCAGCCTTTTGAAAAAATATAATGTTCTGTCGAGTTGGGGTTCAGCCTTTTGAAAAAAAAAATATAGGCAACTTAGACTGATATATCTCTGATTCTTTATCTCTTTGTAGTCCTTAGTTTGCTTGAGTCACAAAATGGAGTTTATCTGATTGCAAGTTTCCCTCGTTACCGGAAAAAGAAAAACTAAAAAGTCAAAATGTGTATATATTACAATCTATTACTTCAATTATTATCGATTGATTTAAAGAAGGCAATCAACTCTGTTATTTGGTGACGAGGAAAACCTATAACCACTATTTGAGGATATATATATATATATATATATATATATATATATATATATATATATATATATATACACACCGGTAAATAGTATTCTAGCAGTGTAATAGTCTGTAAATCACACAATAAAAATAAATTACACTAAAAAATCATGTGTGACAAGTTCAACTGATAAAGTGTGCCAAGAATTGATCAGAAGGTTTGAAAATTTAAATTAGTTTTCTTTAGATCTATTCACAAAATTATCAATAGATTAGTATGGTATATATAACTTATAACATGACATGTGAAATATTGGTATATAACATGGGGCTAAGCCAACCTCTTCAAGGGCAGTAGGGCTTGGTTGTAGTTCCACATTTTGATGTGTACACCCATTATTACTAGAAGAAAGATTCATATGATTTTAGGTAAATAGGTCAAATAAGCGCAACGAGTGAAAATAAGGACGTAAATTAAAAAAAAAAAAAAAAAAAAGATCATAGTAGAAGGTAAATACATTGTATTTGATTTATGAGTTAATTTTATTATATATTAGTCTTAGATTTACGTGTCATACCATTTTTAAGTTTTTTTTTTAGAGCATCACATGTTGGTCCTAATATTGTTATGTCCTGTTAACAAACATATTTAAATGACGATGTTAAATACGATGACATTTCGGCCATTATACAAAGTGGTTAATTTGCTATATTTTTATTAAAAAATCCTAACTTACGGCTAGAATCCCCCTATCTTTTTCAATTACAATATGCGCCTCCGTAGCAAAGCCTCCACAACCAAGGCCTTCGCAACAATGGAATGTTACATACAACTCTATATGACTAAAAAATAAATCAATATTTAGAACTGAATAGACCGAAATGACATCATATTTAACGACATTTAAATAGGCTTGTTGACAAATGACCAACAATAATCATGTCACAATAATACCATGAGCAACGGGGATGTTCAGAAAAAAAGGAAAAAAAAAGATTAAAAATGAATTGAAATACCACTTATAAATCTTTTTTTTTTTTAAAAATAAACTCTTGATTTATTTACCATAATTTATTAACTTTTACTGTAGTATTTTTTTTAAACACATTATTTTTTAGAAGGTAATATCTTATGTATTAATGTCAGTATGTCACAACCAATTTCCATAAACACCATGTAAATACATTACAAAAGCTATTTCCAATAGCCTAATTACATTTTTGTCAACTAACAGCCCTTGTTGATGTGTAAATTTTGGACCAAGTCAATAGCTAATAGCAAAGCTAGTATGGCTCCTTGAACACAATAAAACGTGGTAGAGCTTGTGGCTAAAATGGGCAGAAGCCATTTTTGTCAACAAACAGCCCTTATTTTATTTTATTACTTGTGTAATGATTGATTTAGGTTTTGTTGAGCATATAATATATAAACATAAATGTGTGTAATTTAACTATTAACTTAGATTTTTAGTTGAGATGGAATACATGTTTCAATTTATCATTAGAGCTAATCTCATGCCAAAATTTATGGGTTAAAAAAAGTAATTAGCTCCTACACATGAGGAGGCTCTTTATAGAAGTTGTATCACTTAATTTTTTAATGTTGAAATCACCTAATTTGGGTATTTAATTTCTATGTTTAAATATAATAAATTAAAATACTTAGTAATGGTTATTTTGAGCGAGAATTGTAATTTTGTACTTTTTTAAAAAAATTACTTTTGTATTGATTTGTTCATATAATCAAAACCATTCAAATTATCATTACTTTACATTATTAATGACGAGAAAACTCCACAACTACTTCATATAAAATCTGTGTACTGGATAAATTTTGAAATATAACTCTAACAAATGACCACAAAAAGTAAACAATTTAAATTAATCACAACTAATCAATTTAAACAAAAAATAATAAAAAAATTCAATAAATCACTCTAATCAAAAGCTTTAGTCAAACTTGGAATCATGTTTTCTCGAATGATTTAAAGCAAGGTTTGATAAATATGATTTGAACGTTTTAAAGCAAGCTAAGGTTTGATACGTACGTATGATTAACTTGATAAGATTTTAGGCAAAAGCGGCTTGAATAGGTTTGGTGCATGCATGACACATGTCATTCACTCATTCCCATTCAAAGAAACACGTCATATATAATACATGGGTGTTGATGTTTTGCTGTTGGGTGGGTCCATGTTCCTGTTGATGCCCTCGTGAGTCATCACATAAATATATATATTTTTTTGATGTGTCTTCTTCTTCAATGCAATGTTGTCTGCATGTTATGTGTGTTGGAGTAAAGATGCAATTGTCATCGATCACCTCCACTCACCAATTCTTATGATATCGACCAAGATCGACTTTACATTATAAATTCTAATTCAAAATGAACTTCATATTAATTATGGAGACAAGTAATTTTTAGTAAATAGTTGTTAGTTGATAACTGTTAGCAGATTGATTTAGTGAGTTTGAGTAGTTGAGAGCATTAGCTGCTTGTAAAAAGATGTTTGGTAAATTAACTGTAAGTTGATAGCTGATTACATGCAAAATGACTTTCTCAAAAAGTTGATCAGAATTGTAACATTTTTGAATAATAAACTGTTACAAAAAGCTAGCTAATTAATCAAACATTCACAGGGCATTTGGTTTAAGGGAATTTAAATTCTTTTCCCACTTAATTCCAAAGGCCACAAAATTCCCTTGTTTGGTTGAAAGGAATTGCAATTCCCCCATTTTCATGGAATTAAAATTCCATGTCCCCCTGGAATTTTAAGAAGAAAAAAAGACAGTGATGAGTCAAAATTACCCCTTCCTTTATTAACCTAAAATTAATGCCTAACAACAACAATGAACATTTTTGACTTTATACTACTTATTCCCTTTCAATTCCCATGTATACCAAACGTTGGAGCTGAAATTTCCAGTAATTCTATTTCTGTAAACCAAACACTGAAATTTAAATTCTCACTTTATTCCCAGTAATTCATCTCCCATGGAATTACAATTCATTTCCCACGTAATTTCCTCTTTCCAACCAAACGCCCTGTCATATGGGATGTTTAACCAAGTCAAACAGTTAATAGTGGCCAAACAAACCAAAATTGACTGATTATCTTACCAAATAGGGCCATAATATGTTAATTATAAATATATAATTTAAATATTATTAATCCATAATACAAAGTGAACAATTCCCGTATAGTATTGAGGTTCAAATCTATTTAAAAGAGCCATAAAAGTATCATTGAGTATAAGCTGCTTGTTTTCTTAGCTTTTTTCCTTAATTTGTCTTTTGTTTCTTTTCCTTTTTTGGTGTCCAGTTGCCTATTATGTTTTCACCCTTTTTTTGGCTATATTACTATCATGTCATATGATTATTACTCATTAACCCCCTCTCTATATACTTATTTAGGGAGGAGCCTCCCCAATACCGAGTGGACAACTGGACAAAGTGCCGGATAATAATAATAATAATAATAATAATAATAATAATGATAATAATAATAATAATAATAATAATAATAATAATAATAATAATAATAATAATAATAATAATAATAATATCATTTAATGAGTTGTGATGTCTAAACCAAATGTAATTTCGACTAACCAGATGTATTTAATTGTTATAAATAAACATGCAATTTAAATACTCTTTGTCCGTTAGTAAAAATTACATTGAAACTAAACATACTCAAAAATGGCTATCTTACTATTTTCAGAATTTAGCATAGTGTCTACTTGGTAATGTAAAATTTTCAATTTTCCTATTTATTTATAATTGTCTATTGTATTTAATTAAAAAAAAAAAAAAGAAGAATGATTCTACCTGATTAGTTGTGGGTAGTTTGGGCAGGTCTTGGCAACTTATTTATTTGTACAATTGTACATGTTCCCAACAAATGAACAAAACTTACGGTTTAACTAAAAATGTACAACAATGTACATTTTTATTATTTATTTATTTACAACCAATACAATTAAAGTATAATCCGATTAATAAATCACTATAATAAATTAAAATAATAAAATACAACACCTTTCTATAACAACTCTACAAAGAGACTATGACTAACAACCTAAACGAAAAGGGAAACCTCTTTACAAACCGTGAGAGATTTATTTTTTTAGTGTTAATCACGAGGTGTTCTGGGTGGACCATAGGGAGAATCATCAATTGTAAGAATTGAACCTGAGTTATCCCAATATTCTTTTCCTATAAAAAGAATTTATTTGTCACTTGAGCTACACCATTAGATTACCATTAGAGATATATTTAATAATTTAAACATATCTATTCGTATATATTTATTATTGAACTTTCAAATATTGCTACTTAGCAGAATTTTTTAATTCATATAAAAAAAAAGTGACACATAAAATGTGATCAAATTAAAATTTTGAAATATAGAACAAACATGCATGGCTCAATAAACGTCGTCCTTTTAAGAGGACCGGTTAAATTTCGAAAGTTAAAGGATCATAGATGGTTAACTTGGACCAAGAATGGTTAAATTTGAAAGTCGAAGAATTACATATGGTCAATTTAAAAGTTTAAGATTAAACGTGGCAAAACCATTATATTCGGAGTATGCCATATGACATTAACTCTTTTGTTCTCATACCTCAAATTTTAGAATATTAAGCTAACTTGTAAAATGAATATCAATTAATTATCTAAAAAAATGTAGCCAACAAAATTATTGACACTTTATTAGATTTTTTTTTTTTAAAAAAAAAGTATAAGCACGATTAAAATAAATGCACATTCATTTTTATATATATTTTGTTTTATGTGAAATTATATAAAGTATCTATTGACATTGATACCCATCATATATGTACAATTATGTAGTTTATACATGATTGCATAAAAGCATCATTAAAAATCATTATGGATAATATAATATCAAACTAACATAAGCAGCATTGATATTGAGTAGCTTGTAAATTTATGCGATAATTTTAATCCCTCGAACATAATTTTTCTAGCTCCGCCCTGGATTCACTCCAATATAAACGTGATATATAAAAGTTGAAATACACCTATAAACATATAAAAGCTAAATAGATAATCGTAATAAAAGTCTTGACATATAGTAATGTGGATTTATTTAGAACAATAATATGAATATGAATATTGGGAAAATAAAGGAAGGGGTAAAAGAGTAAAAGCAGAAGATCGAGATGCTGCAATCTTCTTCTACCTGAATCTAACTGAAAAGCTGAGTAGTGAGCGTAACAGCATAAACCCGAAGAAGCGTGCAGTCCAAGCGAAAGAGTCGCCTGAACCCCCACCCACTCCACCGGCCCGCCCACACTTTGCCGGCCAACGCAGATTACCCCCTAAACCTAAATATCCCTTCTTTCTCTCATTAATACTAACCTCCACGCCCCATCCCTCCCTCCAATATACGCCCGCACGTATGTACTATGCCCATTTCTATGGCTCTACGCTTAGGACTCACAGGTTGCTTGTATAGGAAAAAGATCAAAATTTGAGGATTCCTTTTTGGCCTAGGGTTTAATTTATTGTCCGGGAACTTGCTACTTTTAAGCGTGAGTGAGTTTGAAGGTGGTGTGGTTGAGTGAATGGGCGGCGATGAGGAAGTCTTTTAAAGATTCACTCAAAGCGCTGGAAGCTGATATTCAGCATGCCAATACTTTGTATGCATCCTTCTTTTCTGCGCCGAAATTTGATTTGTTTATTGTTTTCTTCCTCTGGGTTTATGCGCTAAATTCTTAGGCCTCGATGTTTTCTCTTTTGATTTTCTTTTTGTTTTGTTTTGTTTTGTTTTTCCATAACAGCATTAGTAGTTCTTTGGAAGTATCATGAATAAGTGATTTTGTTGAGATGCAGGGCTTCTGATTATCCAAGGGCATATGGAGGTGCTTGCCTTCAAATGAGGCTGTCATACAGCCCCTGTGCACATATCTTTCTGTTTCTTGTTCAGTGGGCAGATTACAACCTTGCTGGTGCTCTGGGATTGCTCAGGATCCTTATATACAAGGTAATTAATTGTGCCACTCTATGTATTTAATCATTTCCCATAATTTTTCGCCCCGGACCCACATCCCGGCCAGACAGGATAGGATTGTGTAGCCCGTTGAGAAGACCAGTGTTTGGTGCTCACAAGAGCCATGACATGAGAATGAAACTCTCATATTCATGTTGGCAGGACTTAATCATGCGTCCTGCCACCCAAGAACCAACTGAGTTACCGGTGTGAATTTATTCTATTGCTTGTGTTTGTGGTCTTGAAATTTGATTGTTGATTGCAGGCTTATGAGAATGGTAAGACAAGTATGTATGTTCATGAAAGAAAAGCCAGCATAAGAGAGTTTTATGGTGAGTAGACTAGGATTGCCAACACATTCTCTTGTCAATTTCTTTGTGTTTTGTGTACAACTGAATTCACTTATATCCTTAATTGTGCAAGTTGTTTTGTGGGATTTCATTTGAAAATCGAAGTGAGTTTTGAATTTTGTTTGTTTGGATGTTGGCTTCGATCTGATGACATTGAACAGGGGTGATATTCCCTTCTCTCTTGCAACTTCAGAGGGGAATTACTGATGTGGAAGAGCGGAAACAAAGAGAGACATGTGAGAGTAAATACAGCAAGAGAGATGAGACGAACAAGGGAAAGTTTTCCGAAATCGAATTGGAGAGGGAGGAGGAATGTGGGATTTGCTTGGAGTTGGAGTCCAAGGTTGTTTTGCCTGACTGCAGCCATGCTTTATGCATGAAGTGTTATAGAGACTGGTAAGTATTCATACTGCATTATCATCCAATAACTTAGAAATGCCAAGAACTCGTCGATCTTAAAACCCACAATAGTAACGGTTTATTGCTGAATTGGTTGATTTGGTTATAGCTATTTATTGCTTAGACTAATAAGTATCTTTACACAATACAAGTGAAACATCTCATAGTTTACACAATCTGCTGCAAACGGATCCGAATGCCATCAAGATTCTCGGTGTTTAAAGATGTCTAGTTCCTTAAAATCCCAATGACATGATTGTTTGACTACTTCTTGTTGTCTAGCCTTTCCCCGGGGACTCAGAACTAAACGACAATTTCAATTCTAGTATCTCTGTAAAAGTTAGACTACTAGATGATACTATACATGCATTGTTGCTGTGATTCTTCAAGATTACATAGATTTCTGCAGCATTGTTTATGTTCATTCCAAGTATTCGCGTCTACCATATGCATATATATGATATCGCCTTTTTTTTTTGCTGTTTTAGGCGTACTCGATCGCAGTCATGCCCTTTCTGTCGAGATAGTCTGAAAAGAGTGAATTCTGGGGACCTTTGGATCTACACCAACACTAGCGAAGTCATAGATTTGGGCGCCATAGCAACGGAGAACTTGAAGAGACTTCTGTTATTCATTGAAAAGTTGCCTCTCCTGCTCCCAAATTCAACACTTGTGTCCTACTATCCCCATTATCGGTGAATGCCTACGATGATTCTTTTTAGTTTTTTTTTTTTTTCATTAATTTTGTTCTTCCCCTTGATTCTTCATTTCATCAAAGTTGTTAGCTGATGGATGTGTTGGGTGGTTGGCGGTAAAGATTCAGAAATGAGCAGAAGGTGTGAGCATTGTACGGACTACGGAGTATTTCTTTATCTGTTTTAGTTATAGTTATTAGATATAGGAAGGAGGGAGTAAGGTAGAAACAGTCCAAACAGATTTCTACGGACTATTTTTTGATACTCCGTATGACATTTGAAGATGCCATTCGCAGGTTGAGGATAAGAGCATCTCTATTTGTAGTAAGAGCAACTTCATTAGTAGCAAATTTTATGTGGTTTTTATCGGTACAACTAAGAAAAAAAATTTAAGAAATACATACAGATTAACGCACTAGGCTGGGCGTGGGCGTGAGATGTGCGTCAAACGTGCAGAAATGTCGTAACTTTGCATTCCTTTTTGTCTCCTCAGAGGCTCACAAAAAATTATAATTTGTAGTAGAAAAAATTACTTAAAAACTACTCTCGTTTGTCAAAAAATCAAACCTAAATTTTTATTTCTACAAGAAATCACCCAAAATTTTCTAATGAAGTTGCTCTAAAGCAAATTAAAAAAATACATATAGATTAACGCGCCAAGCTGAGCGTGAGATATGCGTCAAATGTGCATAAATGCCGTAGCTTAGCATTCCTTTTTGTTGTGTTTTTTTTTTCCCTCATTTCTCCCTATTTTTTCCTTATTGGTTAAAAAGTCTAAAGAGATTTTGGTAAATATTTATTAGCTGATTGGGTTAGTGAGTTTGATTAGTTGATAGCGGTTTAAGCAATAAACTGTTACAAAAAGTTAATTAATTAAACACTCATATTAACCGTTCAACCAAGTCAAACAAGCCTAATTAATTGATAAACTAATTATGTTACCAAATAGGGCGTAACAAAAAACCTAGACGGATGGATTTGCTTTTAGCGGATGTTCACCTATAGTCATGGCTATCTCCACATTCTTTCTCAGAGTAGGCATAATTTTTTTAAAAAATTATCTTTGTGATAAATTTTTTTTAGCTAAATCATCTCAAAATCTCAAATATCAGTTGGCATGCCAAATGCCCCAATCATCAATTATTAAAAATAAGAGAGAGAGTAAGTTTACTACACATTTTTACTTGCTTGATAATTTAGTTGTACACTTTTTAAATTTAGTGATAAAGACATAGAGTTATATAAAGGTGCTAAATTTAATGACTTGTTTGATACTTATTTTATAATTTAAAAATGATGTTGGGTAGAAATCTTGGGAGGTGTTTGGTTGGTAAATTAAAATCGGAGTCATATATTTGATAATTGACACGAGCTCTAGTAAAAGTATACTTTTATTTAATAATAGATGAGAATCAAAACTGGAATTAAAATATATATACGTGTGTGTGTGTGAAAGAGACTTGAAGAAATGGAAGCAGAATTTTTTCTTTTATCATTTTTTATTTGTAAAAGTAATATTTCATAAGAAAATGATTTTTTAAAATTCATTAATGATTTGAATCTCATTTTAAGATGCAAAAAATAGTAAAACAAATAAGATAATTGAATTTAATTATGATAGTATAGTTTTAAAAAAGCCCATGAATGATTTTTTTTTTTTTTTTTGGGAAAAAAAAAAAAAAAAAAAAACAATGAATGAAAAGCTCCTTTGGTGTAATAGTAAAGCAAATAAGTGAGGAAATGTATTATTATGGAGTTGCAATCAGCCAATAGGAAGAAAGAGTGATCTATCCTCTGTAGATATTCAAATCCGAATGCAATCAACTATCAGCCATTAATGTCATCCTACGTGTCCTTCACAGCTCTCAGGTTGTCCACTTAGATCATCCCTTTCCCACAACCAGATAAGATACTAGATAAGGCAGATGCTCCCACAACCGTTAGATGGATTCACTCCCAAAATCCAACGGCCGTGGATCTTCACCATAGGTGATCCACACAACCTTCAAAAAATCAGTAGAAAAAGTACCCATTCTCCATCTCTATAGCCCAGTGAACTAAAACTTCATTCCAAACATCTTATTCTCATCGCATCCATGGCCACCGCCACGTCCACATTCATCGGAACCCGCCTCCCGGAGATCCACTCCGGCCCGGCGAGATTCCAGGCCCGGTTCGGGTTCAAGAAGGCTCCTCCCAAGAAAGCGCCATCCAAGTCCACCTTCACATCAGACAGGCCCTTGTGGTACCCGGGAGCCAAGGCGCCGGAATATCTCGACGGCTCCCTCGTCGGCGACTATGGGTTCGACCCGTTCGGGCTGGGAAAGCCCGCCGAGTACTTGCAGTTCGAGTTGGACTCGTTGGACCAGAATCTGGCTAAGAACCTCGCCGGAGACATCATTGGGACAAGGACTGAAGCCGCCGACGTGAAGTCCACGCCGTTCCAGCCCTACAGTGAAGTCTTCGGGCTACAGAGGTTCAGAGAGTGTGAGCTGATCCATGGCCGGTGGGCCATGTTGGCCACTCTCGGCGCCTTGACCGTCGAGTGGCTCACCGGCGTTACATGGCAAGACGCCGGAAAGGTACGTACACCTCGTCATTCCTTACAGTTTTCCTTTCCATCTCTCCATAATTGAAGCATGTGCCCCATATCAATTAAAAGTTTAAATTGATAGTTGGATTGGCGGAACCCAACACGTTGCTTATGGGGTAGCGCTGAGATTTGAATCATGACATTTGGTCTGGTTCTAATATCAAATTAAAGTATATGCTCCATCTCAATTAAAATCTAAGCTGATAGTTAGATTGCACATTAATAGCTACATAGATGACTAACAACTTCTAATTATTAAATCCAACAAACTACTTAATAAAAAGAGATTATTGTCCATGAATTTAGTATTAAACTGGAAATGCACGCAGGTTGAACTGATCGAAGGATCATCGTATCTGGGACAACCACTTCCGTTCTCCATTACAACGTTGATCTGGATCGAGGTTCTGGTGATCGGGTACATCGAGTTCCAAAGAAACGCAGAGCTTGACCCGGAGAAGAGGCTGTACCCGGGAGGAAGTTTCTTCGACCCGTTGGGTCTGGCTGCTGACCCGGAGAAGAAGGCTACCCTGCAACTTGCAGAGATCAAGCACGCCAGGCTCGCCATGGTTGCTTTCTTGGGTTTTGCCGTCCAAGCTGCCGCCACCGGCAAAGGTCCGCTTAACAACTGGGCGACCCACTTGAGTGACCCGCTCCACACCACTATTTTTGACACCTTCGGTTTCTTCTCTTAAGCCTCCTCGATCTCTCATTATCATCATCATCATCTTGTATTATCCCTCCACTTACTTATTGACAATATGATTATGCCTATATGAATATTTGTTATCTTTGCTCTCCATGCTCTATAATTGTAGCATTTGACTATCTAAGGGCACTAATTGTAATATCAACAGATGATTATAAGGGCAAATCCATAAATCTTATTTAGTGGGGGCGAAATATTAAAAATAAATACATTAGGATCCGAATTGCAAACAACTCCATATAGAAATAGGTGGCCTTACAATCTAATTAAGTCAAATTAACATTTACTTAAATTTTGATATATTTAATGTATATAAGGACATATACACACAATATATATCTATATGAGGATGGGATAGGGGAAGGGGGAGTGGTATGGATCCGCCACTGGATGATTACTACTATCATTAGTTATTATTATCACCATATATAGGAATCTATCTTAATTAGAAGGAATCCATATACATGAGCAGTTTAGGGGGTGTTTAGTTCCAACATGGAAATTAGAATGAGAATGGGAATCAAATATTTGGTAATCGGTTTTGGTGAAAGTATTTTGCATTTTTAATAGTAGGGTGGAATTGAAATGATTACTAATATTGTTGTTTGGTTATGTATGATGCTATAATGGGGATAAATGTTTTAAAAGTACAAGTACAAAAAATCAAGACAATTTATTCTAATATAAAGATACACAAAGCACCAATATGAAAAAAAAAAAAAAATTTAAAAGCACGGTTCCAAACTTAAAATTCAAATTACTAATTAGGATGGGAATAAATGAAATAAAAGTGAAGTACATAATGATAATAATGGTTATAAATGAAATTATAACAATTTCCATTTCTGCTTTAAAAGTTAGTAGATAATGATAATAATGGTTATGTTTACTTCGTGTGCTTCATTAATTAAGTTGAGAAATTATGTTGAGCAGATACTAGAGTCAGAACATTAAGAAAAAAAACTCAACTTTTTTTTTTTTGAAAACTTAACTCAATTTTTTAATTCGCTATAAAACCTGAATAGACATACATAGCAAGTTAGCAACCATCCCATTTCACTAACCACTAGCAGAGAAATATATTAGACAAGACATTAACCCCTTATTTCATGGATCCCTTGCTCAATATATTCTCAAATGAAAATTCTATGACCTTCGCCTCTTCGTACAACAAATTTACTATTTTATTATCAAAGTTGCTTCTATAAACTACGGCTACACTTAGTATTGGGACAAACTGTATCTTATGCACCCAGGTGTTTACAGCATAACACAAATGACAAACCATACATTTTGTACATATCTATATAATAGTGTGTACATTTTGACTCTATCTAGAATATTGAGGATAAGGATATTCCATTTGGAGCTCAATTAATACTAAATATATAGAAAACTTATAAAACGATAAAGGTGAAAAAAAAAAGATGAAAAACTTTGTAAGATTGTATAAATGAACTTTAATTTTGATTGAAAAGATTAAAGAATGATTAATTAAATTATAGCTTCATGCATAAAGGAAGAAAGCTTTTTTTTTTTTTTTTTTTTTTTTTTTGGATATGTAAAAGTGAAGAGTATGGTTTTCTTAACTCAAAACTTTTAAGATGTGTTAAAAATAGAGTTTGTTAGGTTTGAGAGTGGGAGGGGATGGCTTCTCATAATATTTATTATCCATGGGAGAAGAGGTATATATATCTCACTTATAATATTGGGAGTTGTTTTGCCCCTAAAAATGGCATCCTTTAATAACTATTGATCTCAAATTATGTGGTTGAAATTTTTTTATCTAATATTTTTTTTAATGTAATTTAAACATATTTGTTGGTGGAGGACAAAAACGGTCATGTCACAATAATGCTAGGACCAACGAGATTGTTTAAAAAAAAAAAGAATAAGAGTAAACGGAGATCAAAATGCTAGAACTGAATAGATCAAAATGCCTTATATTTAACACTATTTAAATGGTTTTTGTTGACGGAAAACTAAAATAGTCATGCCACAATAATACTAGGACTAAACGAAAATATTTTTAAAAAATAACTAAAATGAACTGATATATATATATATATATATATATATATATATATATATATATATATATATATATAAATCTAAGATAAAAAATAAAATTTCATATTCAATTGAGTTACCATGATTTACATCCTCCCATATGCTCTGTCGGGCCGGAGGGTGGGGGCCCTTAAGGTTGAGGTTCAACCTTTTGGAAAGATATAAAAAATGAAATTAACTCTTGAATAAAATTATTATATTGTTTTTAAACGTGTATAAAAATTGAAGTAAATATAATCATTTTATTTCAAAAAGAAAAAAAGAAAAAAAAGAAGTAGATATATCTGTTAGGGCATTAGGGGTCTACGCTCTTATTATTATTAGGTTTGTAAATGTAGATGTGTATAAAAATTTATGCCATTATCCAAATTCATGTGCTAATATAGTACCGTAATATTAACATAACTGTAATAAATAACGGAGTATTTAATTATTTATTGATTATTGATGAATAGCCAATAAACATAAAAATGTCAAAATCACAGAAATTCACACAAAAAGAAATTTCCTTTTTGGAATTCATCTTCTTTTTTTTTTTTTTCCTGGATTTTTGAAATGTAATTCGTAATTCATATCGAGATTGCGTTCTCTGCTTTGTTATAAATTCGAGAGGACAACATGCCTGAATTGCCGATTAATCCTTTTTGCCTCTTCGCTCAACTGGTTGTAAGGTGAGGTGATCATCTATCTTTCCTTCTCCTTCACACTTTTCATTCTGCAACTCATTTGTTTTACGATCGATGTCGTTCGTTCATGTTCTACATTTGTTGTCCCTATCTGAATTTCGTCAATCTTTTCGTCGTTCGTTTGCGTTTTCGGGTCTTTTAAGGGTTCGTTTGATTGCTTGAAGGAGAAGTAGAAGAGACTATGGGCAGGCTTTTCCTCACCTACTTGGATGGCAAAGTTTATAGTTGCAAGTTCTGTAAGACGCAACTGTCTGTCGCGGAAGACATTATCTCTAAGGTATCTCTGTAACTTTCAATGGTGTGTGCGTGTTTGTGGTGTAACTGTAGGTGTGTGAAATTTGCCAAAGTAATCGCTTTTTGTTTTTAGTTGTACTTTTTTTTTTTTTTTTTTTTTGGGGGGGGGGGGGGGGGGGGGGGGGGAAATGTTGGTGTGTTTTGCTGTCTAGTTGTTGAGCCTTCATGTTTTGTGATCCTTAAATTGTTTAGTTTATGTAATGGTGATTGAAATTCATGTGCTTATGCTATGCTGTTGTGAAATGGAAAATTTCATGTTTCTGTTCAAATGTACAAAATCCTTCTTGAAAAGGTCAGAACTCAGTTAAGAAAGCATTTGCAGAGGTTTTGAGAGGAATTAATGAAGGAAAGGTAATCTTGAACTGTAGGGATAGAGTGATGTGACATGGTAGGAGTGCTTTGATCTGTGGTTGGGCTAACCGAGTATATGCTTCAGTTTGTCCTTTTTAGTCTTTCATCTGTTAGTCACTGGTCTGGCTGTTTTAGGAACCAATTAAGAATGTATAATAACATTGGATACCTGGTATGCTTTAGGGAAGTATAAGACTCAAATTTCAATGTCTGGTTTCTTTACATGCATACTGTGGTGTGTGAATTTGTTGCTTTGTGTGTTGGTTTGTATCTATGCTATGGGTATGTCAAATCTTTTCCTGGAAGTGCTTATTCTTCCGTTTGATTCATATACTTGTATGCCGCTACTTATCTGGTTGTCCCCTCTAATATTTGGGATTTCATCTGCAATATGATAACCCGAATTCATGTGTGTTTCCAGGCTTTCCACTGCAGGCATGGGGAGGCTTATCTCTTTGATAAAGTGTAAGTGTTCTTTGCTTTTCCAGTGCTCAAATTTTATGAGTTAGATTATGGAACTGTTTGTTTGATACTGTCCAAAAGGCGCCTCATTTGTTACCTGTCATCCCACTCTAGGCTTTCAACTTGCCCGGCTTGAATGTTACGTGTTTTCTAGATCATTTTAAGTTGAATACACAGGGATTGACTGAAAATATGATCCTATCGTACTTTTTAAATTTGCCTACTTTTTTCCACCACTTGTTACAAACAAAAGATAAAACATAGTTCCAGTGAAAGAAACAATTTGGCCTGTTGGATAATGACATCTCAATGACTAGTCACATTTACTGTTGTGAAATGCTTTCTTGTGGTAGTGTAAACAACATGTATAAAGAACAACCTCATTTCTGGTTTATCTCACAATTTGGCCTTCTTGGTTTGAGTCAGTCAGCTATGGGCAACCTAGACTGGTTTACCTCCTTGTGGTCCTTTACCGGCTAGGGTTACAAGGCGGGGTTTATACCGCACACACCCTCAGATAGTGGCTACGGGTTTCCATTGTTACCCAAAAAAAAAAACCTCATGTATTTTGCCCTGATGGTCTACTACTAAATGGTATAAATAATGTTGGCTCCTCTCATGCCACAGTGTGAATGTTACTCTTGGTGCGAAAGAAGAGAGGATGATGATAACTGGAATGCACACTGTTGTTGACACATACTGCGTGGCATGTGGCTCACTTGTTGGCTGGAAATATGTATATTCTTCCACATTACACACACACATTGTCTTTTGTTACATATATGACTGAGTTATCCCGCTGCTCTTGACTGATATGCCTGTGTTGATTTCAGGAAACTGCACATGAAAAGTCACAGAAGTACAAGGAAGGGAAGTTCATCCTCGAGAGGTATCAAGATATTGCTCGCTTTTGCAGTTCACCCCACACTTATTACGAAATATGAACTTATGGTTTTTACTTTTCTGCTGCAACAAATTAGCAGGTTCATGATATTGGGTCCGGATGGAAGCAACTATTCTGTGAACCAAGATGTTGAGCTTGATGGGAGCGATGACGATGAAGCATGAGTAACAACTCCCAGGAATCAAATATCTATCTTCTCAGACTCACCCTGCCATTTTCATTCAGACTTTATCTTTCAGTTTAGAACTACAGAACAGATGCATGTAGGCAGACATATTTAAGATTTGCAGGATAGTCTTTATGGCCATTGATTTAGAATTTAAACCAAAACCATTCTCTTTTCAGCTCTTCTCCTGTCGCTTGTTACTTTAATTTCTTTTTTGAATGACAAGGGAAACTGACACTAGCCTTGTGACCCTAGCCAACAAAAGATCACAAAAAGGGAGGTAAAATATCTGAAGTTGCTCATAACTGGCTAACTGGCTCAAACCAAGTCAATAGGTTGTTCATGTTGGGAGTCGAACTTGTAATTCTTTGATTATCAAATTAACAGGGTGATCAATTTGTTGGGGTTGTTATTTTTATTTTGTATGCACTTTCAAGTTCTATTAATGATTTTTAATAGTGTTAAGTAATTATTTTTGAATGAATTATTTATTTGCTCTAAGCATAAAGCATTTGTGTAAACATGCAAAACATACTACTATAGTTTATCATATTGTAGGCCTATAGGGTGGTTTACATGGCGTTGATATTTAATTTAATTTGAAACTTAAAAAGTATTTTACTTTAATGGTGGGGCTTGTTAACTTTTGTTAGATGTTATTTATGCTTTGATAACGACATTTTAGATAACTTTAACTAAATCATTAGGAAGTCATTAATATTTTTTAAAAAAGTTCTAAGCTATTGATTCTACTTCGAGTCTTGATCAGCGTGTGGGTCACGTTAATGATGTAAAGTTTGTTTCCTTCCTCCGTTTTCTCCGACAATTTCAGCGGCGCCATTCTTCCCTGTTCTCTGACATTTCTTGACGCCCATTTCGTCTACCATCTTTCTGAGAAAGTGAGAAGCTCTCAAGTGTCTGCTACTATTTAAACATTCAGCTCAGAAATGGCAGTAAGTATCCAATACGGAGTACTATATATATTCATATTTACACCTACAGACATGAATGTATGCTATACGGAGTGTATATAGTTCTTTATTATGTGTAAAAGCGCACGATGATTGTATGGATTATGGAGGTCATTATAAGTTTATACTCTTTCGTTATCTTTGTGGGGACAGGTTTGTCAGTTGTGTCAGTGTGTTGTCAACACTCAAGAGTTGCTTAATGGCTGTTTTCTTTGTAAAAATAGATTCTTTAATAATTCTTGAATTCAGCAGCAGACATAGTCTAGATCCATTGAAATCTTCTTTGTTTATCCCCTTCCTTGGTGGAAGAAAACGTATTTGATTGGATGAGAATCATGAGATGAGTGGTTTCTTTGATTTGGAGTTAAATTTTCTGGGATTTGGTCTGTTGTGAATGTGTTGTAGATAGGGGATTCTGTGCCAATTTGCTAATTTTCTTGCTAAAGTTTGGATTTTGGAATTGGAATTGGAATTGGAATTGGAATGGGATTGAATTAACTTGTGTGGGGATATAATGGATTTGCAAAAGCAGGCTTCAGTACAGTGCAGGGCTGAGGAGAGGACTCTTGGGATGGTGATGAAAGAGGTAGATGAAGATCTTGCTATCTTCCTTCAAAGGCGGCGCAATGATTTGATTGGTATTCATATATGTTAGCTTTTATTCTCTGTGTCCTAACTTTTAAACTTGTTGTATCATCCAATTCACGAGATTGGTTTGGTGTTTTGTAGTCGAAGAATCACGAGATGATCAGAGGTATTTGGTATCAAATGAGACATTGACAAGGCCTGCTACACAGATGGCAATGGAAAAGTTTCTGAGTTCTGAGAATGAAGGAGACTATGAATGGTAGTTATTATCAGTTCAGTTCTATGCCAGGCCTATAACCATAAACCATCTCTTAATCTTTTATCGTTCGTTAATATTCTAGATTCTCTGATGTAGGCTTCTTTCACCCCCGCGTGTGCCTTCATATAGTTCATCGGACACCGAGGAGCAGAAAGCTATAGCAAATCCAACGAGGACGAGTTCAGATTCAACTCCTTTGAAATATACGGTGAGCCACGTAAAATTGGCATGGTTTAGCAGTGCAATAATGAATTAACTCTTGCTATGCTTCTATGATGTGTCCAGTTGTTCAATGATAAACTTGCTAATACAGTTGATCTTCTGCATTTGATGATTTCTAATCTCTAGTAGTTTGTAAAAGAAATGTATGTTTCATTGATTACTTGATGTTGCAGAACACAGATTCTGGGGAGGATAAAACCTCACAAAATATGTCATCTGTACATCCTTCTACCAGAAAATGTGCTTCTTTGCCTAACAAGAACGCTTCTCGTGCTGGGAGTGGAAGGCCATTAATGGAGGCAAGAAAACCGACTTCTTCTAGGTCTGCAACGCCCACTAGACAACAACGTGTGCCTTCGAGAGCTTCCACACCTTCTTCACGTGCATCGTTTGTTTCTGCTAAGCCTGTTGCTGTTCCAGCAAGGTCTTCAACTCCAGTTAGAGCTAATTCGCGTTCTTCCACCCCAACTGCTAGAGCCACGGTTTCAGCCACTTCAAAGTCTGCCTCAAGGTCTTCAACACCAACTCATAGACCATCAACTACATCTAGTTCTAGCTCGTCTGCAGTTTCTGCTAGATCTTCATCGGTGCCAAAAAGAGCTCCCACTACTATGTCAAGAAATCTGTCATCTTCTAGTGGGACTTCTCCAACCGTGACATCCAGGCCAAGTTTGTCCCGTGATGATTCCACTAAAAGGCCTTCTTCTGCATCCAGGGCGAGGCCAAGTTCTCCTATTCTTCGACCATCTACTACTAACAATGCCACTGGTGAAATTTCGCGGTGTAAATCACACTCTTCTTCAAGAAGTAAAACCCCTACTACTATTACAGCTCCTGGCAGTGGGAGCACTTTGGTTTCCAGGAGTAGAGGACACAGCGATAATAAAGATGATGTGAATCCCGTAGTGGTGGGTACAAAGATGGTTGAAAGAGTTGTAAACATGAGAAAACTAGGTCCAGCCAAGCCAGACGCCTCCAAAAAGTCCTCGTATTCTCAGGAGAGTTCAGGCTTTGGGACATCCTTCTCCAAGAAGGCTCTCGACATGGCTCTGAGGCATATGGTAAATACCCACAACCTCCTTATGTTTAGTATGGTCTTGAACTTCATAAAAGTGGCAAATATTGACATTACAATTCAGTCTAAGATGATCTGATTCCAAGAAAAGTAACCATATCACCTGAGTCCAATGCATTGGCCCTCTTTTCACAGTACTCCTATTGTTTGCCAAATCTATCTATTCGTATTTGATCATCTTTGTTTTTGTTTTACAACTCTTCTATAGGATATAAAACGCAGAACTCCTGGTAATTTGCGCCCAGTATCAACTGGGGCTCCACCTGCCCCAATGAATGGCTCTAGTAAGAGTGAACCAGCATGTAGTGTCTCTGACCATCTTCTTGAATTGCCATGATCGAAAAATAGGCAGTTAGTTATAAATGTGGCTGCAAGGGAGAAGAGAGTCCCCACCCTCGGATCCAATAGATGAAGCGCGTTGTCTCAGGTAATTGCTGAGAACCCGAGCTACATAGTTTAGGTGTAAGGAGAATGAACACATTGCGTTTGGATTTATTTTTCAAAGATCCTTTTGCAATAGCAGTGGCAGTCCCTGTGCTACTGTGTGATGCTGCTTGGCTTGAGTAGCAAGAACTAGTTACATCTTGTATAACTTGGCATGTCGATTCAGAGTAGCTGTGCATGCTGATATGCTATGATTCATGAAATCAACAAATTCAAACTAGATTTTTCACCAACTCTATCGTATGATTGCATCACTATAAGTTTCTTTCATCCGTTTCTTTATTGGGTGACTAGGCAGCCACTAAAGGTTTGCACGGGGTAACCCTAGCCAGCAAAGGATCACATGGAGGTAAACCAACCTAGTTTGCCCATAGCTGATCGGCAACCATTACTCGTGGGTGACCCTAGAGGTAAATCAGCCTAAGTTGCCCATAGTTGATCAACTTAAATCAAGAGCGCCAATAGACTATTCTTATTGGGAGTCGAATTTGTAACTTTCTAGTTATAAGTTAATAGTCTGATCAACCTGGATGGTTCCCTCATTCATCCATTTCTTGCTTTTATGTTTTCGAAATGGAAACCATGATTAGTTAATTGAGCTAGCATAGGTGTTCTTGTATGAATTGAACAAAGTTTCCTCAAACAAGAAACTTTTTTCATCTCCAAGTCGGTAGCCGGTAGGTGCAGTATTACAAGTAGCCAAGTTCTGGGGTTAACAGTGTTGAAAATCTAAACACGACAAATGTGGGATGGTAAGTATGATTACCAGAGAATTAGCGGCGGCGGCGGTGCTTTAGTGCGTGGTTGACCGCCGACAGTTGCCTAACATACAGCCAATTACTTTACCAGCAAACCTTAAAGTCTGCTACTTAATTTAAGTGCGTGCGGAGTATTTCCTTAAAAAGAGGGGCGGGGGAGATATTGAGTCGGCAACGCGGTTACTTGTTTATGGCATGAAATTGGACATATTCCTCAGGTTGTCTTCATTTCAACATGTGTATGTGTATGGTGAGTCCACTCGGAGTCGTCGGAACGCCGGCCGGAAGTGCAAACATTCTGAAATATGCTAACGCGTTTTCTTACACTATGTATATTGTTGTATCAAAATTTGTTCACATGGTAATGCCAAATCAATTTAATAATAAATAAGTAATGAACCTTCAAATGGTGTTTGAAGGTTCATTACTTCATTATTTAATGTATTATAGAAAATGAATTTTCAATATATTAATAATGAACATTCAATATATGAAAATGAATATTTATCAATAATCTGCATTGCAGTTTGGATCATGATCAATAATATAATTTGTTTGATTTTTAAGGAAAGTTGGCTATGTAAGTCTAAATTTACCTAATTTGCAAGGAACAAACTATGCATGCCTTGTAAATATAAATTCTTTAAGGGAAGAAAAAAGATAAACAATTTAACATTTTTACAACAATACACACATTTTCTTCCCTCAATCTCTTCGTTACATTTTTACCTTGCATTATGGGTTTATGTTAATCCGGCCTTGGTCTATTGAGTAAAAACCCAACAAAAGGAGAACAAAAAATTAAAATTAAAATTAAAGTTTTGCCCTTTGTATATCCCCCAATGACATCAAAGAGATTATATATATATATATATATATATATATATATATATATATATATATATAGGGACGCACTCAGGTGCGAATAAATGCCCAGGAATGAAATGCGAATGAATCAGCGCGCGACACGTGTCCAGATCTAATAACTTAAAAAAAAACGCGGTGGCATTTTCGTAAATAATTGAATATTGAAGTGCAAGTAAAATCTCTTATAAGTGCACCTATTTTCACCTATAAGTGCATGTAATTTTGCCTTGTTAGCATTCACTTTCCGCAACCATTCATGCACCTGGGTGTGCTTATAACTATATGTGCAACCATTTATCACTATAGGTGCAATTACTTATAACTATAGGTGCACCTACTTTCACCTATAAGTGCATGTAATTTTGTCTTGTTAACATTCATTGATCTGAGTTCAGCGGGTAGTAATACTCCTGAAAACCACTCGCAAACATTCATACGCCTAGATGCAACTACTTATACCTATGTGTGCAACTACTTAGAACTATAGGTGCAACTAAGTATTGATCCTCAGTGTAAATTTTTACTTGCACCTATAATACATTTTACATGCACTTGTAATACATTTTACTTGCACTTCGATGTTCAATTATTTACGAAAATGCCACCGCGTTTTTTTTAAAAATCAGTGTTTCTCATCCATTAGATCTGGACACGTGGACGAACAGAATTCATTCTTATTTCGCGCATGGGCGAGCCGTTCGCACCCGAGTGCAAGTATATATATATATATATATATATATATATATATATATATATATATATATATATATATATATATATATATATATATATATATATATATAGAATTAGGTTCTGATGCGGTTAAGGTGTCCAGGTGCGGTTTAATCTGGGCCATTCATCTCACTTAAATCAACGTTCAGGATTACCAAATTTTTTAAAAAAAAAAACGCGGTGGCAAATTTGTAATTTTTGCATCTAGGTCAAAATTAAGGTGAGCGGATCTGTGATTAATATGCGTGAGTTTTGTATATAAGATGCGTGAGTTTTGTGCGTAAGGTGCGTGAGATTTGTGCTTAATGTGTGTGGGGTTGTGCTTAATGTGAGTAGTTGTTAAAACTTAAAGTCTGTGAGTTATAATTAAAGTGCGTGGATTTTGTACTTAATGTGCGCGAGTTTGTACTTAATGTTCGTAGTTGTTGAAACTTAAAGTCTGTGAGTTAATATTTAAAGTGCGTGGGTTTTGTGCTTAATATGCATAAGGTTGTGCTTAATGTGTGTGGATTTTGTACTTAATGTGCGTGAGTTTGTGCTTAAGATCTAATACTTAAGGTGTGCCTTTTTTAGCTTATTCTTCTTTCTTCTAGACACGCGTTTTTTTTTTTTTTTTTTAATTTTCATTGATTTGAGCCGTTGATCTAAATTTGATCAACGGATCAGATCTAACCGCACAATCGCACGGGAAGCTATACTCGCACCTGAACCCTTCCATATATATATATATATATATATATATATATATATATATATATATATATATATATATATATATATTAATAATAAACTTATAAGGCATTTAGAAGGTATCTCAAATCATCTTTAAAATGTAAATATTATAATATATATATTCGTATTTGGTTTGAGGGGAAAGTGAGATTCTTAAATTTTATTTTTAATTATTTTTATAACATTAATGGAATTTACAGCCCTCATATTCTTAGAAAATTTTCGGTACTTTAAAATATTTCTTAAACCAAACACCTTTTAAGGCTTTCAAACAATTGTTCTAAATTAGTCCTCCTTATTCTGTTCTAAGTTTGATTATTGCTAACATTATTATTCTGGTCAAATCTATTGCTCATGATCTTTCAAGTTTAGTTTATCTCACCTATGTGATTTGTAAGCTATTACATATAATTAAAATTTGTTCAATACACATTTCTGAATAATGACTATAAAATTCTCACATAAAAAAAAATATATAAAATAAAATAAAGGGGAAAAAGTCAGCGTAATTAGTTTACTTGCTAATATAAGATTCCGTTAAGTACACTTCATTTCAAAGTGGATCACCCACTTACCATTTTATATTTATATACATACGAGCATACCTTATTCTCTGCCTTGATTGCCCTGTCATTCAATTGTATATTTGTATCAATATGACATATTTAAATTGATTTTTTATTTTCTTATCACTTTTCAAATGTACCAATTCATGTATAAGAGCCGTCATAATAGGTTTTGTCTGCTGGGCCGGCCTATCTTGCCCCTACTTAGGTGGGGTGTATTTCAAAAATAGCAGTCAGCTAAGGAATGAACTTTTTTGACCCGTCTTGTGTAGGTCTGCGAACTGGTTGACTTTGTCCTGTCCTGCCAGTCCGTATTGACAGCTCTACTCCTAAGCTAGCTACCACTTTTGGGCTTCTCATTTGAACTCTTGCATGCCTAAGCCAGTATCCCCAGAGGCGGAGCCACAATGAGCGCAATTGGCCCCACTCCCCCACCCCATCCTATTTATATATATTGTATGTATAGATCTCTTTTATATACATAGTTAACTTATAAATATTTAAATTACATAAATATAAACGAAAAATGAGTTAGTTTAAGTGGTAAGATATTTTGTTTTTTCCTAAATAATGTTATGGACTTATGGGGTCGAATCCTACAAGCATGAATTTATATTCAGATTAATTTGAATTGAATTTTTTATTTGTAATATTGTGTTTTTTAAATCTCATTTTGTAATATTAATAGTGATATGAGTGTTTTATAATATGTTTTCTATTCAAATTATTTTATCTAATTAACTATATTTCATATTTTGTTTTGAATATTTTTATTATCTCATTTTGATATATTTTAATTTTTCATCCTAACTAACAATATTTATGACTCGTCTTCTAAATATATTTTTTCAAAATATATCTTATTAGTTTTTAATTTTCGCCTGCACTTACGAAGATTTCTGAATCCGTCTCTGAGTATCCCGAACCAACCTACTCCATGCTAGGGATGGTAACATTGCATGTTGGTGGTTGGATACATGTATGTCCATTTAACATTTTAACATTACTCAAACCTCAACTTGATTACTAATATCACTATCCCATACCTGCCCTGGATCTATCATCTATTAGCAGTTAGCACACTACCTTTCAAGTACTCCAACCAGTCCCAAAATCCGTTTCAAATATTTAAACAAAAATAAATAAATAAAAACACTTTCAAGTTTATAAAATAATTATTTTATATTTATAACTTTTACATTGCTAAATCATTATTATACATAACTAAATATCCACAA